GTGCCGCGGGCAATGCAATGCTCACAACGAGCGGCCGCGCGCGCACTCGCGTCGCACGCAGCTCTACTGGATCAACACAGATGGACACAAAACAATGTGAATGTCGAAATCCAGTCGGTCACCGCTGAGAGCGCACTTCCGTTTCCAAGCCAACATTCAGACATGTCCCAGCGTGGACAATAAGCCTCACCAGGCGCGGCAGCACGCGCGCACGCGGACGCACACGCGTCGAACGCTGCCCCATTGGATCAACATGTCCGACATCCATGTTAATCTTCGAAATCCAATCGGTCACCGCTAAGGGTTCACTGTAGTTCCCAGGCCAACATTGCGGTTTTTGCATACTACAATACTCACCGCGAGCGGCCGCGCGCGCGCGTGCACGCGCAGCTCCGAAAAAAAAGGGGGAATAAAAAAAACACATCCGAAATGCCATCGGCCCCCGCTAAGGGCCCACTTCAGTTCCCAAGCCAACATGGCGACTTTCCTATTGTGGACGCCACAAGGCTCGCCGAGCGCGACAGCGCGCGCACGCGCGTCGCACGTTCCCCCATGTAATCAGCATGTACGAAACCAATGTAACATTCGAAATCCAATCGGTCACCGCCTAAAGCCCACTTTAGTTTCCAAGCCGACATGGCGACTTTCCCAGCGCGGGCAACGCAAGACTCACCGCGCGAGGCCCGCGCGCGCGCGTGCGCACGCGCGTCGCGCGCTGATCCGCTGGCTCAACATGTGAGAAACCTATGTACACTCTCACCGGTGAACATGTGAGAAACCTATGTGCTGATCCACTGGCTCAACATCCGCCGGTCACCGCTGTGGGTTCACTCTGTCCAGGCCAACATGGCGACTTTTGCATTGTGAACACTGAAAGACTCACCGCGAGCGGCCGCGCGCGCGCGAACGCGCGTCGCGCGCTGCTGAATCTCATCAACATGTACGAAAACAATGCTAATTTCGAAATCAAATAAGTGACCGCGAAGGGGCAACTTCTTTCGTTCCGAGGCCAGCGTGGAAACTTGCCCGGCGCGGGCAGTGTAAAACATGCCGCGCGCGGCCGCGCGCGCGCGCGTTGCGCGCGGCCCCGGTTGATCAACGTGCACGGGAAAGTATGTAAATTCCGAAACGCGACCGGTCACCGCCGAGGGTTCACCACTCACAGGCCAACATGGCGACTTCCCCCATCGTGGACAATGCAAGTAAGACTCACCGCGCGCGCGCGTCGCACGTTGCTCCATTCAATTGGCACGTCCGAAAAAATGCCCCTTTCAAACTCCAATCGGTCACCGCTGAGGGTTCGCGTTGGTTCCCAGGCCAACATGGCGACTCTCTCGCTGCGGGCGGCGCGATGCTCGCCGCGCGCGACCGCGCGCGCGACGCCAAGGGGCGCCCTCACTGTCCTCCCGCGGGTGCCCCGCCCAAAGGATGGCCAAGGGCGCCCCGCCCATCCAACGTCCTCTCGTGGCCGCGCCCAACCGTGAGTGGAGGGGCAAGGAAGACGTGCCCAACTGAGCACAAGTACCCCGCGCGTCGCGGATCCTTGGGGCCGCGCCCCCCCGCGAATGCAAAGACGGGGCGGGGAATGGCCAATGGCGCCCCGCCCATCGCGCATCCTCAGGGCCGTGCCCAAACATGAGTGGAAGCGCAAGGAAAACGTGTCCAAGGATGGGCGCAAGTACCCTGCGCGTCGCGCATCCTTAGAGCCACGCCCCCCCCCCCCCCCTGCTGAACGGGCGGGGGCGCAGGGCCCGAGGCCCTGCCCATCGCGCATCGGTTGCACTCGGCCCCCAGGGGCGTCGCGCCGCGCAGCCGAAGGATGTAGCCCGCCCCACGGGCACCCTGAGGGGCTGGCCAGCGAAAGTTGCCAGGAATGGGCCGAAGGGGCAAGGATGCAACGGTGGCCCAGGACAAGTTGCTCATCCTTACTCCGCGGGTTGACTGTATATCATACGTAAATGAAGCAGCTTATGTATATTTCATCAGAAACTACGCCAGTCAATATATATATATGCTTCTCTGAGCGCTGGCAGGTATGATAAAGGAAAAATCACTCTAAGGGCGTTGCAAAAATGTGTGTCTAGCGATAATGCAACGAAGTGGGTGCATGCAAATGTATCCAGACGCTATGTTCTGCATATGTATAAAGGCGATCACAGAACACAGGTGCTCAAAACATGCGAAAATGCCGCACCAACTACACGTGCGTATATGTATGTATAGAGAGAGTCGTACAGTATTAGGGCAAGTGCACGTTCAAATATGCAACTCGTTAGCAACTGCTACGTTACAATACCATGCACAACTAATACTGACCACCATAATGGCCAATTGCCATAGCTGTGGTGCACTCGCTGTATGTCATGTGTATGAATGACATGCAGTGCACATATTCAGTACATATAATGTACGATTCTACATGTTGTATACTATGCCGTACCTATGTATAAATATACAGTCTTGAAATACATATTTGATAGTGCATTGCATTGTTGGTATTGATCGTACATGATCGTGCATTGCATTGTTGGTATGTTTGCAAGCTACTGGTTAGATGCTTACTATAAGAGTGCACTGTGGGGCATGTGCATAACACATGTATCTAATTATACATATGTTTATAATACACATATTAGTATCCAAATCTGTTGTCCGCCATGAGGCGCATGACAGCCCGCAGGCTGTGAAAAGAGATCTCGACGTCCAACCAACAACACACTTAGAGCCGCGGATAGGCCGGTACATCCAACATGCGGATGCCAATAATAGGTTGTTTCGCCGTGCCCGTCTCTCGCACGACATATATTTATACTTTAGTATGCGGAAATGTCGTATGAACCGTTGAATACTATAATGTAGAAAGTTGCTGTAACTACACATATACGTAGAACCTATTTAGTTGGTAGCAAGGTGCACAATCTGTAAATATGTATATATATATACATATGCATATATATATATATATATACATATATGTATAGATAGATGTGCTACTAACTAGCATATACAAAACTTGTGTCGCATGTGTCTATAATATGTGTGTAACGAATGCTGAATATATTCTTGTGAATACGACCATTACGAGGAAAATTATGACACTTATAATATATGCACGTTAAAATGTAGGCGGTTACTAAAGATGCAATATGACGGTAAATGTAAAGCCTCTTATGATGTTTTACATTAGGTTATAATGATATACTAAAACATGTAATATCTAACGTGGGGAGTGGGTCATTCGTCAAAGCCGAAAGCAAACATTCAACATCTGGGAACAAGGGGCGGTATGTATAATAATATATGTCCCATAACAACTGTGCACATATGATTGCATAAAAGAATGTATTATATTATTCAGATGCTATGAAAGCTTTGTATGCAATGTATACTATACACACAGAACGCTCAACATATAAACCCTGGTTCGCAGAAAGAACTAATATCTAACAGGCGCAACATATTGTACACTCCTCCTCTTCCCCCTCATTTTTCGTCCTCCCTGTCCCTCCCTCTCCCTCCTCCCTCTCCCCCGCTCCTCGACGGTACTCCGAAGGAGTTTCTCGGGGCACTTTGGGGCCTCTGCCCATCCATGGGCGCCCCAAGGGCCCTGGGGCCATCTTGGACCTGGGATCGTCGCGAGCCCCAAACTTTGGGGCGGGGGGGGGGGTGATATCTGGCCGCGCGCCCCGGCCCTGGAGGAGGAGGACGACAAGGAGAAGCAACAAAAGCAGCAACAGCAGCAGGGGTAGGGGGAGAGGGAACAAGAGGAGGAGGCAGGCGAGGCGGGCGGGAGGATTCGTTTCTATATCCAACTGGTTGTCCACGGGCCTCATCCGCAGGAGAGTTACGACCCGCGCCTGGCCCTCCTGCTCAAGAACAAGAAGCCGGCGCCCCCCAAGAACCCGCCGCCAAACCCCTCGAAGCCCAAGGTCAATGCCAATGCCAAGGGAGAGCCCAAGCCGCCAGAGACCGACGGGGGCCAGACCGGCGGCGGGGAGGCCGGGGGGGCCAGCGCCGCCGCAGCGAGCGGAGGCAGCAGCAGCGCAGCAGGCTCCGGATCAGCCGCAGGGGCGACCTCCGGAGACGCGCTGGCCGCCTTCAAGGCAAAGCTCGCCGCGATGTCGGCGGGATCGGGTGGTTGAGAGCCTGAGGGGCCTGCGGTCCAGACTAGTGCGTGTCAGCGCTGCCCAGAGAGTCAGAATGGAGACATTGAGTCAGTGCGTGGCATCGGCAGGAGAATCCCACATCCATCAAGAGGGGTGTGTTGTCAGGTTCGCTTGGCCCATGGGGGCAGATTGCACAAACTGCATTGCGTCGCAATCGTGGCATTGGGTAGCTTTGCATTGCGTTGTCTGGACAGCGTTGCTGCACGCGTTGCGTTGCATTGCGTTACATGTTGCAGATAGCATTGCATTGCACGCGTTGTCCATCAACGCATTGCGCACACGGCGTTGCATTTTTTGCAAAAAAAAACTGACATGGATTACATTTGCTATACGCATTGCATGCATAGCATAGGCAAGTATTGCGTCGTCGTAGCGAAAGTTTCCACGGCAGGGCTTGAGCAATCTATGTATCTCCTATTGGCCCTCCACGTGATTGTTATCGTCTTAATGGAAGGGGGCAGGAAGCTCATCATCGATTGTTGCTATGCTCTCGATATGTTCGACTCCCTACTCCAGATATCGTAATGAAAGGGAGGGGGTCTGGACCCTCCAAGACAAGCCATTTCAGACCTCCCCCGTGGGAGAACCCTCCAAAACATCGTCCCCAGACCCCCCAGGCCCTCCAAGATAGCCTGGAAGAGACCCCCCCCCGAAATGAGACCCCCCTCCCTTTATTACGAAATCTGGAGTACCCCCTACCCCCTCCAAAAAACGAGGTCCTGTGGGGTCGGGGGCACCGCTGTGACGGCGCGGTGACGTGTCAGCATTGGTGATATTTGTATATTGTGCTACTGTTGCGCTGGGCTGCACTGGCAGCTTGTTCGCCTGCGCCTCATGGCATCTTTATCGCAAGTTTCCTTTCAAGATTTTCAGTGGAGCCCCCCGAACCCCTGCGACCACGCTTCCTCGTGGATGGCGGCCAAGGCCAAGAAGGTTTCGAGTAAGAAGACCCTCAAGAAGCTTTCGAAACGACCGGCTGGGCATGCTCTTCCAGCCTTGCGGATTGAGCCAGCCCCAGAGGCGCCGCTCGAAGATGTGACTATCTTCAACGAGACTGCAAGGGGGAACGCTCCCGTCCGCATCGGAGGCGATTGCAGCGGTTGGTGCACCGAGCACGCAGCGTCATTGGCAGTACTGAGCGTCGGCCTGATCCACGTCTTCGCGAGCGACTCTTGCAAGGCGGCGCGCAAATTCATCCACCGTTTCTGCCAGCCACTGCACCTGTACAACGACGTCACCACGAGGGCTGCCCCCAACAACTTGGATCTGTACGTCGCTGGTTTCCCATGCCAGCCTTGGTCGATTGCGGCAGGGAACGGAGAAGGGCTGTCTGACAAAAGAGGAAGAGGGGGCATAGTGGAATACATAGTCGACTACATCGACAAGGCGCGCCCGAAGAGTTTCCTGCTGGAAAACGCACCTGGCCTAGTGACGAAATTCGTCAGCGTGTTCAACCTCGTTATTGGCACACTCCGGGCGCTCAAGGACTCGACCACCGGAAAGGCCGCCTACGCCGTGCACTGGAAAATTCTCAAGCCAGACGTCGAGGGCGGCCTTCCACAACATCGCCCGCGAGTCTACGTGGTCGGCATTTTGCAGACCGAGATGCGGAGGCAGTTCCAGTGGCCCACGCCGATCGACACCGTGGCGCTGTCCCAGATCCTCGAGGAGCACACCGGCACGTGGGCCGACTTGGAGCAGCTCAGTGCGACGAAGAAGACGAACGTGATTAAGTGCCTAGCTAAGACATGCGACGACGGGGCCCTGCCACAGGATATTGACGCGATCTTCGACATTGGAGGCACAAAACCAACGATCATGAAGGAGGTGTGCCCATGTCTCACGGTGACGCGGTGCCAGGACCAGGCCTACTTCTCTAGCCAGCAGTTCCGCACATTGACCATCACAGACATGATGCGCCTCCAAGGCGTCGATGAGAACATGTTCGCCGGGTGGGACGAGATCCTTTCGCCAAGGCAGATGGGTTCCTTGATCGGTAACGCAATGTGCCAGTCTATCGTCGAGAGGGTGCTGCGCGGCATCTACTTGAGCCTCGGCGTTCCATGCAAGTGATCGCCCAGCGCAGTTAGGCGTGTGTGAGGCAGGATAAGTAGGGGAAGAGGAGGAGGATGCTGAGGAGGAGGTGAGGGAGGAGGGAGGCGGGACAGGAGGGGGGAGAGGGCGAAGGGTAGACAGCAAGCTGGGGAGCCTGGGGGTGCCACGACTACGTTGCTGCTTACACTAGGCGCCGCCTGGAGCGGGCAGATTCTGCCACCCCATAAGACGAGGGGTGCAGACTGGGAACGCAGCTGGCTTCATTGCTTCCTCCACTCGCTTCCCTTTCCCCACCCCGCTCTCTCCTGCCACTCCCCCTCCTTCCCTGTTTCCTTTCACCCAAACACCCTCCTCCACTCCCCTTCTCTCTTGCAGCAGTGACCAACCGATTCGCGCACCCATGCTTGGGTTAGGCTTGGAGGCTAGAGGTTGGAGTCAACGACGCCTGTAGAAAATCCGCTGGCCCCCTCCGGCGGCGCAATGCTGCGAAGGTGCGTGCGGTCTGCTGTCATTTGTCGTTTGGCCTTCACGATAGCCCCAAGACGGCCCAAGATACTCCCAAGACGGCCCGAGAGGCCTCCAAGAGGCTTCCCAAGAGGGCCCCAGGCAACAACACACCGTGATTTCCCTAACGTTTCTGAAAATGTTGGCATTATCGCCTTTTCGGCGTTCCGATGCTCCGAGACGGATCAAGAGGTTCTCAAGATCGCCCAACGACGGCCCAAGACGCCCACATGACGGCCCAAGAGGCCCCCATGACGGCTCCAAGACGGCCGAAAAGGGCCCTAAGACAGTCCAAAAGGCGCCCCCGACGGCCCAAAAGGGCCCAAAGGCCCAAGAGGGAGTCCACGAACCGAAAACTCGACCTTTACGCCGCGAGAAGGCCCCCGGAGGCCCCAAGAAGGTTGCAAGAGGCCCCAAAAGGCCGCCAAGAGGCCCCCTCCTCCTCCTCCTCCTCCTCCTCCTCCTGCTCCTCCTCCTCCTCCACTTTTCCTCCTCCTCCTCCTCCTCCTCCTCCTCCTCCTCCCGTTATTCCTACCCTTCTTCCTCCCCGAATCTTGAATCGACATCGTCGCTCTCGCTGCTCGTGACCCACTCGACGTCGTCGTCGGCAGACCTCCTCCTCCTCCTCCTCGTCCTCCCTTCTCCACTCCCCCTCCCCTCCCTCCTCCTCCTCCTCCTCGTCCTCTTCCTCCTCCTCCTCTTCCTCCTACTCCTCCTCCTCCTTCTTTCCGCGAGGGTATCATCTCAAAGGCTTCGGCTTATGCCGCCAGCCCCCCCATTTACTTGTGCGTGCAGCTGCGTGGATAGCGCCGTGGGTGCTTTTCGTGGCACGCTTCTCGGCAGCGTCTGCGGGTCATTGTTAGAGCTTCTTGGAAGGAGCCTCTTGGGGCACATGTTGGGTCTCTTGGGGTTTCCTTCTTGAGGAGGAGGAGGAGCAGGAGGAGGAGGAGGAGGAAGAGGAGGAAGAGGAGGAGGGGGAGGAGGGGGAGGAGGAGGAGGAGCAGGAGGAAAAAACGGAGGAGGAGGAGGAGGAATATCACACGGCGCCCGCCGCGCGTCGAGCATGGCGTTGCTTAGCTTTGGTGGGCGGCCGCCCCGCCGCCTGGCAGGCGCCTTCATGGCAGCCCAGCTGCGCGCAACATTGCTGCACGACCATCCCAAACGCATTTTACTTACACGCCCGTGTATCGGGCCGCGGAAGACCTGCTAGACCCCTATGGGCTCGACAAGTGCCTGGCCGCCCAGGCATTCGAGCGGGCAGACGGTTCCCACAAGGTACCAGGGTGCCCCCGGCGCCCTCGCTTCGCGCCCTCGCTTCCCCCGACGGGGCCCGACCCGAGGCCCCCATGGGCCCCGAACCTCCTTGAGCCCTGCCTGCCAGACGTGCAACCTGCCGACTTCTGGCTCTTCCGTGGGAGGGGACTGAGACGTGCCCGCTAACTGGTTCGTGCCCCGCTACGAGGGCCAGCGCGGGGACCCGTACGCGATCCTGCCCCTTTGGTACGAGGGCGATCGCGTCGCGTGCCGCTGGGTGGGGGGATAACCCCGCGCAGTTATTTGGGCCGTTTGCGGCCGTTTGAAACCGTTTTCGGCTTTCGGGTGCCGTCCCGATGCCGCGACCTCCTAGGCCAGGTACCTTCGGTGCCGTCCCGATGCCGCGACCCCCTAGGCTAGGTACCTTTGGTACAACTCATCCTGGTGGTCGAAGGCGTCCTCGGCACGCTTTAAGGCGCGCCCGCCTTCCTGCGGGGCCGCCAAAGAGGAACATCTCCTTGTGGAGGAGGAACAAGAGGGGGAGGAGGAGGAGGAGGAGGAGGAGGAGGACGAGGACGAGGACGAGGACGAGGAGGAGGAGGAGTTTTGTCGGGATGCACGCGCGATGTCGCGAATTCTTCCCCGATCGGGAGGGTCAGTTGGCTGCCGCGCCCGCCATTGCCGATGGCGGACACATGGTTGCACGCAGCACTTGAGATCGTGCGACCCCGAAACCCAAGCATGGTGTCGGGATAGACCAAGAACTCTGGATCTATGGGGCCCCAAAATTTGGGGTTGCAAGATCAATAAATCAAGAACATTGATATATAAGAACATGGACCAACCCCACCTAATATCAACATAAATCAGGAAAGCTGATATTTAAGATGACATGCTGAAGATGTCTCTGATGAGTGAATTTCAATCTCTCGCAAGTTTTTGGATCTCTTGGATCTCGTGGTCCGCTGGAGGGGCCGCGGCGATGAAGGACGACAGCGCAGGGAAACGCACTTCAGCGCCAAGCGCCGTCTCCGCCCAAGACAAAACACCACTTTCAAGCCTTTCTAAAGACACCCCAGCGGGGCCCAGCCTCGAGGGCCCCCGAGGCCCAAGGATGGCACGACGAGGAGCTGGAGGCACCGTCGGCCAGGATCGCCGATGGCTGCCCCCGAGAGTTGGAGCAGGAGGACTCGAGCAGTGGCGAAGCGTCCTGGCGTGCCTGTACTCCTACCAAGCCGTGTTCTAAGAACCTCCCGTGGTTCCCACGAAATGTTCTTAGGACATGTCTGGCTGGGACTGTCTTGTTTTATCACGTCGGGTTTATGTTCTAAGAACATTGTTTTTGTTATCCGAACATTTGTGGGTTCTACGAACATTTCATGGTAGGACTATAGGAATGCCGGGACGGTCGGTCCCTGCTCAAAGGACAGAGGGAGGAGGTACAAGTCGCCAGTTGCAGCGCTTCATTCCTAGAAGGAAAAAGCCGCATAAACATAAAATGTTGGAGGTCCGCGCGGATTTCCAGGGTCGGCGCCAGTCTGGGGGTTGTGCAGGAGGCGCCACCCAGGAGCGCTGATCCAAGAAATTTGCGCGGGCCTCCAACAATTGATGTTAATCAGGTTGTTGCTCCTCTGCAGTGGAACCCCATGCCAAGAAACACCCTGCTTGCCTCCAGGGTGCCCTGGGTCTCTTGGGTTTGATGGTTTTGCCATGGGAAGCGTGACGTTCCCACACCAAAAATCAGTGGACGTCTTGGGTTCTCAGGGCTGGGTTTCTTGTGGAGGGCTTCCTGTGGTCCAGCTCCTGCCTGCATGATCGTGCAGCTGTCGCGGCACGGACGCCTCGAGCTCGGCCGAGGCGGAGGGGGACGGAGTGGCGCCGCAGCGCTGGGGCGGAGGAAGCGTGCGCTGCTGCTGCTGCTGCTGCTGCTGCTGCTGCCCCAGGTGCCGCGCGCTCGCCGAGCGGCTGGCCGCGGGCGCCGCCCCGCTGGCTGGGCTCGTTGTGGAGCTGACCGGGCGGCCCTGGGGCCTGGCGGCCAAAGCGGCGGGGGAGGGTCGGCCAGGGCCGGGGCGAGGAGAGAGTCCGCTGCAGAGCGTGTCTGAACACTCTCGGAGCGTTCCCTCTCAGAGCGTTCCGGAACGCTCTGGGAAGGCGCCGCGGCGCCCGCTGCATCCCCCAGATCTGCGGGATCTCCGAGATTCTCGATTCAGCCGTACCCGATCCTATCTTCGTCTTAGATGGGCGTTGCCCGTTCTATTGGCGCCTCCTGGAGGCTTCTCGTCGCCACGGTCGGATCCGCGTCGAGAGCGGGCGAAGTTGGGCCCAAAGGATCTCTGGGGACCGATGTTGAGCGGATGCGAGCCTGGCGGGAGAGCGGCAGTGATTTCAATTGGCCCTCAGGGGAGCAGGCGGGTCTGGGATGTGAGTCGTTTTCGGGGCCCCAGGAGTTTCCCGGGCGCCCGTGGGGACGGTGGCAAACGTCGCGCGGACGAACGGGCAGTTTCAGAGATAAGCGAGGGCTCGGGGTGCGGATGGTCTTCATGGTCTCCTGATGTTCGAGGGCGGCCATGGAGGCGGTGGTAAATGTCGTGTCGAGATGCGGGCAATCCGGATCCGCATCTTGCCGTTGTTTCTTAGGTTCCGCGAGGCTGCATCATATCACTGGCCCGGAGGAGGAAGAGGAGGGGGAGGAGGAGGAGGAGGAGCAGGGGGAGCAGGACGGAATGAGGAGGAGGAGGAGAAGAATGGTGGAGAATCAGAATGAGGAGCAGGAGGAGGAAGAAGGAAGGTTGTGAGGGAAGGGAGGATGAGGAGGAGGAGAGGGAGAAAGAGCAGGAGGGTTGTTGAGGTGGATCTACGCATTCTTCCAAAGTCTATTCGGAACCCCAAGAGATTCGCAAAGTCCCCACATCAGTGACGGGGAGGATAGGCTCGGAGGGGGGACGCATAGACGCATGATCGCCTTCTCATCGCCGATCGGGAGCCGTTGGCCCATCCGGCCCAGGCATATGCGGGTCCGCTATCGGGGGCGCATCGCCGATCTATCAGCGATGCATCGCCGATTCCAAGTCGACGTTTTCCCTCCTGAGCCGGTTCCCCCCCCAACGTTCTCACCCACCTCATCCATCGAACAAGTTCCAACCTTCCCCACCATTCCTTTTGCTTGACAGCTGCGCACGCCACAAACATGTTGAGATCCTAGGCACGATCTATCACGTCTCTGATGGGTCCGACTGTTTTTTGTGATTGCGTTGCGGGTC